GACATCTCGGCGCTTCCGCGTTTTGGGCCCTTCGCCACTTCGGTTTTCTGGCCCTACTATCTCATTGCGGTCCAGTACCCGTCTTACCTCGATGGCACCTTTGCTGCCACCGGCCCTGGCTGCCGCACCGGGGCCAACTGGCTCAGCGGCGCCCCGCCCGATTTCTGCAAGGGATCTCAGGGCGCAGCTGTCGCAAATTACTTCGCTTGGCAGCTGGAATCCTTAGGAGCTTATTTCAGCCGTAGCGACTTCCTCAAGAAGTCCCCCCTCGACCCGGCAGTCCTCGCAACCGTCAAGGAGGAACTGCGCCTCCACCTCTCCACACTTGAAGGGCGCGGGTTTTCTTGCTGCGAGTTCAGCAAAGTGGTGTCTCACCTTTTGCTTTGCGCGCGCTGAACTCTCATATCTGGCCGCTCATAATGCCCCTTGCCGCTCTCTGCCCTTTTTTTTTTTTTTTTTTTCTCGTCTGCTCAGGCCGCTCCACGGCTCTCCCCTTCTGGCCGGCCCTTTGGTTCCTTTGTTTTTTTTTTTCTTTTCATCGTTCTTGTTTGTTTTTTTTTTTTGGTGTGTGGGTGTGGGTGTGGGTTGGGTGTTGGCGGTCGGGTGCGGTGTGTTGTGTTTGTTGTTTGTGTGTGTTTGTTGTGTGTGTGTTGTGGTGTGTCTGTTGTGTGTGTGTGTGTGTGTGGTGTGTGTGTGTGTTTGTGTGTGTGTGTGGTTTGTGTGGTGTGTGTGGTGTGTGTTGTGTGTGTGTGTGTGTGTGTGTGTGTGTGTGTGTGTGTTGTGGTGTGTGGGTGTTTGTGTGTGTGTGGTTGTTGTGTGTGTGGGTGTGTGTGTGTGTGTGTGGTTGGTGTGTGTGTGTGTGTGGGTGTGTGGTGTTTGTGGTGTGTGTGTTGTGTGGTGTGTGTTTGTGTAGTTTGTGTGTTGTTGGGTTGTGTGTGTGTGTGTGTGTGTGTGTGTGTGTTTAGGTGTGTGTGGTGTGTGTGGTGTGTGTGGTGTGTGCGTGGTGTGTGTGGTGTGTGTGTGGTGTGTGTGGTGTGTGTGGTGTGTGTGGTGTGTGTGGTGTGTGTGGTGTGTGTGGTGCGTGCGGTGTGTGCGGTGTGTGCGGTGTGTGTGTGTGTGTGTGTGTGTGTGTGTGTGTGTGTGTGTGTGTGTGTGTGTGTGTGTGTGTGTGTGTGTGTGTGTGCGTGTGTGTGCGGGTGTGTGCGGGTGTGTGCGGGTGTGTGCGGGTGTGTGCGGGTGTGTGCGGGTGTGTGCGGGTGTGTGCGGGTGTGTGCGGGTGAGTGCGGGTGTGTGCGTGTGTGCGGGTGCCGTGTGCGTGTTGCGTGTGTGCTGTGTTCGTGTGTTGCCGTGTGTGCGTGTGTGCGTGTGGTGCGTGTGGTGCGTTGGTGTGCGTGTGTTGCGGTGGTGGGGGTGTGTCGTGTTGTGCGTGTGTGCTTGTGTGCGTGTGTGTGCGGGTGTGCTCGTGTGTGTGGGTGTGGGTGTGGTGTGTGGTGTGTGGGTGGGTTGTGTGTGGGTGGGTTGTGTGTGTGTGTGTGTGTGTGTGTGTGTGTGTGTGTGTGTGTGTGTGTGTGTGTGTGTGTGTGTGTGTGTGTGTGTGTGTGTGTGTGTGTGTGTGTGTGTGTGTGTGTGTGTGTGTGTGTGTGTTTGTTTGTTTGTGCCCCCGTTTTTTTTTTCTTTTTCCTTTTTTTTTGTTTTTTGTTTTTCCCCTCGTTCCCCCGCCCTCGCCTTGTGCTCGCTCTGTTCCTTCTCGGCTGCCGTCCTCGCTTCTGCTTCGCTGTTGCCGGTTGCTGGCTGCGTTGGTCTTTCTTTTGTCCCCCCTTCTTTGCTTGTCGTCGTTTTTCCCCCGGCGTGTTTGCGTGTCGGTGTCGGTGTCGGTGTCGGTGTCGGTGTCGGTGTCGGTGTCGGTGTCGGTGTCGGTGTCGGTGTGTGTGTGTGTGTGTGTGTGTGTTTTTTCTCTTTTTCTTCTTTCTTTCCTTTTCTCTGCACCTTCGCTTGTGGCCCTCCCTTAAGCTGCGCCCCACTAATGTTGCTGTCGGTCCGCTTCGCTCGTTGACCGCTGCTCGTGACAGTCATCCCAAGTCCCGTACCCTTGTCTTTTAACCAACACGGCGGCCCGTTCTGGGGGCTTGGTCTCGGTTCTTGGGCGTGGGTCGCTCGCTAGGGGGCTTGGGTGCACGTGCAGGAACACCGACCTATCGCGCACATCTTACACCGGGTGGGCTTTCCCCCTTCTCTTCTCTGGGCCTGGCCTCCGGGCTGACGGTCTGTTGCTCCATGCTGCGCCCGACCAGTCCGCTTCCTTCTTGTCTTGAAGCCTTGCTTCTTATTTGCTCGCCTGCCCGGCTCAAGCCCCGCTCCCGCCCCTAAGTGTTACTCCCCTTCTTTCGTAGCTAAGCCGCCGCCATGGAAGACCCTGCGTTCCGCGATACTGCGCATCGTGCCATTCGCCTTGGGCTTCTCCTTGCAGAGCGTAGCCTTGACAGCATTCTACCGGCACCCCCAAATCAGAACACCGTGCCGCTTCCCCCGGCCGCCGCTTCAGACCCGCAGGGTCGCCAGGGCAGCCGCTCACGCACTCCGCAAGCCAGCACTTCGCAGCGCCCTCCTCGTCACCCTGTGGGTGCTGCTGATGCTCACATCCCGGTGTCCTCTCAGCCCCCTGGTGCCAGCCCTAAACGCCTGCCACGCTCTCGTAGCAGCCTTCTGGTGCCTGATACACGCGTTGCGCCAAGCCGTGCTACGCACCTTGCAACTAATCGCACCTCCAAGACGAGTCCCATCGGCTGTCCAGCGCCTGAGCAACGCAACCCAGCCAATGCCAACCAGAGTTACAGTTCTCGTGGCCGGAGCCCGGTACGTGCTGACGCGCCGCAGGCAAGTCGCCCCAAAGGCCGTGTGCCTTGGCCACCTGCCCGTCGGACTCGCACGGGACAGCCTGCCCCGAGGACTGTCTACTCTGAACCCAGGCCGCAGGTGGCGACTCACGTTGAGACATCATCGCTGCCTGAGCATGAACAGCCACCTCTCCCTGAGTCTGCCCCTCCGCCTTTCCCTGCGGCAGCCCCGGCTATGACACTGGCTCCCTCCGTGCAATTCCCGCCCGGGTTTTACATCATCGGGTTGCCAACGCGCCCGAGCCTGAGTCAACTCGATATCATATTTGGGTCAGTCTCCGCGCTGTCTCCCGCGCTGGCAAGCCTCATACCCAAGTTTCAGCTCGCTCCAGTGCAGCGCAAAGGCACATATCATCGGACTGCACCCTTTTTCCTCACCCATCCGGCATTCGCTGACGCTGGCGTTATCCGGCGCATCATGACCCAGCTCAAAGAGTCGGGTGAGGTTGACTCTAAGGGGCGTGCCCGGGTGTCTACTCCCGCCGGTGTGCTCAAAGTCTCTATCGCCACCTGCTCTGTCCGCCCAACCCGTGCGGCTGTCACCACTATTCCCGCATCGGAGCGTGCCTCCCTGCAAGTGGACGTCTCTCCCAACTCGCCTCCGACCCTGCCGCAGTGCCTGTCCCGGATCCAGGCCGTGGCTTATTTCGGGACGGCTCAGGAACCTCCTCGTGTGTGCATCTGCTGCCATCAATCCTTGGCGGAAGGTGAAGCCTTACTCCGCCTCCATTGCTTCCATGTGGTGCACATTGACTGCATGGAGCGGTGGGTCGCCACCCCGCATGCTCGGGGCCGCTGCCCCGAGTGCAACAGCCAAGTCATGCCCCTCCCAGACGCTAGCCGCACCGGCAGCTAGCAGGGCTTAATTGCCTCAGTTCACCACATTTTGACTCCGTGGACGCTTCAGCAGATTGCTGCTAAAAAGCTCGCGCCGGCCTTTGGCTTGCTCGCTTTCGCTGTTTCCTTTTTTTTTTCCCTCCTTCTTTCCTTCCTTTCTTTCTTTCTTCTCTCCCTCTTTCCTTTTTTTTTTTTTTTTTTTTTTTTTTTTTTTTTTTTTTTTTTCTTCCTCTCTCTTTCTCCCTCTCGCTCTCTCTTTTTCCTTTCTGTCCTGTCCTGTCCTTCTTCCTTCCTCCCCCCCTCTCCTTCTCCTTCCCCTTCCCTCCTTCTCCTCCCCTCCTGCCCCCTCCTCCCCCCCCCCTCCCTTTCCTTTCCCTCATTTCCTTGGTTTTGTCCACTTCTGGCCCAGATGAGCCTTTTCGGCCCCAAACCCCCAACTTGGGCAGGTTCCCGTGCTGTAGCGTCCCGCGTAAGCCTCAGCCATGGATCTGCTAGAGGAGTCAGACGCTTCGGACTGCTCTTCGGTAGATGAGTCTGACCCTCACGTCCTGCCTAGCCGCCAAACTGCTCGGATTGGCCAAGCTGTCACCTTGCCCAACTTCTCTGGGCGACCTATCGGAGACGACGTCTCCTGGAAGGGAAGCAGCGCTGTCCGAGTGGTTGCCATCCAATGCGGCAGCTCAGGCATGGACCGGTACCAATGGGGCCTTCGGTTCGGCGAGAGCCTAGCCCACCTCGGTGCCGACATAGGCATACTTTCTGAAACGGGCCTTCGCAGCGAAGCCCATCACACCTTTGCTGTGAAAGGCCTCCTATCTCGTGGGTATCAGGCAATCAGTCATGGGCGGCCGCCCGGGGACCCCTGCGCAGATGGGTCTGGCGTCCTATTGGCCGTTCGCTCCGGCTACCTGGACACTGGTCCCACGTCGCAAAAGACAACTCCGGGCGCGCCCTCGCTGCCACTCTACTTGCCTCTTCCGGCCTTTCACTGCGTGTGGTGGCCGTCTACGCGCCCGTCGGCGCCTGCCTCGCGGGGGCTTCCCGCCCACTTTTTCAACAGGCTGAGTCTGCGCTTCATGACTTCGTTGACGCGCAAATTGCCTCCTCCGCGCGCTCCGAGTCAGCCCTGCTTTTAGGCGGGGATCTCAATTCCTTCACATCCTTGGCGCTTGACTCTTGGCAGGGCACATATGTCATTCGTCCGTCCTGTTTGGCCATGCACCGGTCTGCTAGACACCTTTCGCGTGCGGCACCCTTCCCTGAAAGCCTTCACGCACTACTCTTGGTCAGGGTCAGCCAGCAGGCTCGACTCCATTTGGTGGTTGCCCTCTCCGAACCACGAACTTCAAGTCCTCAATGCGGCCATCCTGTGGAATTGGGACCGCCGCGCTGACCACGACCCAGTCATTGCCGACCTCAACCTCCAACTTCCCATGGTTGCGCCCGCGGAGCGTGCGCAACCCCCTTGTTGGAGACAACTAGTGCGCCGTCTAGATCAAGACCTCCCTGAGCACGTAGCTGCCCATGCAGCGTCACACTCGAAGGCTCTGAGTGACATTGCACAAGCGCTCCATGTCGCTCAGCAGATGTGGGAATCCCTCCCGCAACCACCTTGCGAAGGCCTGGATGGCATCCTTGGTGCCCCCTCGCTGCAGATTCCCTCTGATCTGTGGAGGATCACACACACGGCGCACGATGACCTTATGCACATACTCACAGACTGCCTTCCTCCACCCCAACCTGCCAGTTGCCGTAAACTTGCCCGTGTCTCTGCAGCTTGGCAGGCGTGTCTCTTTGAACTCCGGCGGTGTAAGAAAGCCGTGCTAGACGACGTCAGCTTCTCCGGTGGTCGGGTCCGCCCATCTCACATCTCCCTAAGCCCCCTTTCCCTTGTTTGGGATAAGGCCCTAAGCTTACCCCCTTCCCGTCGCCCATCTCTCCCAGCCCCTCCTCAGTTGCCGGCATGGGACCTGTTTGAATCCAACCCCACAGAGTGGGCCCGGGGACTGGGCTTCCCTGCAGCAGTTCTTCACCTCGCTCAAAGCTCACCTCAAAACACGCCTCCCTCGTCCACTGCCCCCCTGCCAGCAATCACTTGGGATCTTCTACTAGCTAAAGGCCACGCGCCTGCCAACTGCATCAATGCCCTTGACGAGCTTATTGCTTTCGCTCTGTCGCAATATGCCAGCACCTCCTCTCTGCACTTGCGGGACATGCGCAAAGAGCAACTCCTTCTCTTGCGGGAGGGCCAGGTCTCAGCGTGGGCGAAAAAGTTGCGCCCCGCCCAGCCCCCGTCGGCGAAGTATGCCCCTGACTGGATCACTTCTCCCAACGGGTGTCGCCGCCGCCCTTCCTCGGCCTCCGACGTCCGCCTGGGGGCGCAGCAGGAGTGGTGCCGGCTACTTCATGAGCCCGCGACTCCCTGGCAGCACCAAATCGTGCTCCGTTTCCGTACTGCCCATCCTGCGCAACGTGGAGCTCTCAACACTGACTTTCTCTCCAAGTCGGTGTCTGACGCTCAACTGGCTACCATCTCTACTGCTTTTCTGCAACCTGGGCCCTGGCGCCTCTGCCACGCCACCCCTCGCATTTCGTGCTCCAGTATTCGGGTGGGGCCTTGGCTCCTGACACGGGACACGCAGACGCTGACTGGCTTGCTGCTCTCCCTGGTCCCTGCCCCGGCCATCCCTTCCGCCTAGTAGCCCTCGGAAACATACCGGCCGAGCATGTCACAGCTGAGCACTTGTTGACAGGGCACCTGCCTGGCCCAATCTTGTTGCGCAAACAAGAAGCCCCCTCCTACTCGCCAGTGGGCCCCACTACGGAACAGGAGCGATCCGCGTTGCTCAGTCGTTTCCGTGGCTCGCGCCCTGGGCCGAGCGGCTGGAAGGTCTGCTTCATCTCGGCCTTCCCCGTTGCCGTGCAACAACTCTACTTGATTCGCTCCTTCGGAACTGTGCCACCTTCCTTGCTCAATGCCGAGCAGGTCCACCTACCCAAACCTTCTGGGGGTTGGCGCCCCCTCTCCATGCTCGAAGAGTCGCTCAAGGCAATTGAAGCACCGGTGGCTGGCAGGCTCTCAGCTGGGCGCAGCCCCTGGTTCTCTGATGAGCCTCACAGCCATTTGAACCGGGCGTACTCCAAAGGAGTAGCAGCCGCTGCTGAGGTTCTCTACCTCGATTGCCTCGTCTGTGAAGACTCCCTGCGGTCTGGCCTTCCTCTCCTTCGAATCCCTGCAGACTACGAGAAATTTTTCAATGTTCTGCAACGGACCGAGGTTGACGCCGTTCAACAGGGCCGCGGCACCCCAGACGCAGTTCGCAGACTACATCACGCGCTCTTCTCAGGCATGCAAGTCGCCTTGTCCACCCGCTCCGGCCTCACCCTGCCTGTCTCTGTGGAGCGGGGCGTCCCTCAAGGCGCAGTCTCATCACCCGAAGCCTCTCGTTCAGCACAGGACCCACTCCTCCGCCTCCGGGCAGCTGATGGCGCAGCGTACGTCACCAGCAGCGGCCGTCGTGTCGCTGTGGTGGGATACGCCGATGACATCGAGCATTACGGTCGAGGTCTGTCCGACCTCCCCACCATCCTCCACAGCCTCGAGTCAGGCAGCCAGGTATCTGGCGTTGGTTTTGCGTGGTCCAAATTCTCTGCTTTTGCATCTGATTGGGACGCCGCCATGCCTCACATGGACCCGTCAGCCGGCGTCTCTGAGTCAGGGGCTACGGTGCGCAGTTGGGACATCTGGCAGGGAAGCATGCGCACCTTCTCCCTCCCCCGCTCCACGGCTGCCGATCCTGATAAACTGCTAGGTAAGCGTGGTACCCCACTGGACAGGCACACCCTAGCCCGTGAAGATCTCCTAGCCAAACTGTCCTCGGTTCGCGCACGTCTATCCTGCAAGTGCTGTGCCTGGGACGAAATAGCCGCCATGATCCAGTGGATTCTTGGCGGTGTCCTCGGCTACGGTGCCCTGCTCGGAATTCCTCCGCCCGCAGAACTTCACAAAGAAGACGCCGCCCTACACCGCCTACTCCACGCCAGCCTCGGAGTGCGCAGTACTGCAGAGCGTGCCAGCTTCTCCGCCCCCCGTTTTGCTGGAGGACTGGGGTCCCTCTAGTGTCCGAGCTGATGGTCGCTGCTGTGGCAGCGGATTTGCTGGTGCTGCTTAACGGTACCTCGCAAGCCGCTTCCCTCGCTCGGGACCAGCTTAAGCAAGCTCTGCTTTCTGAGCCAGATGAGATCGCCCAGCATCACGGGCTACTCGTAGATGCCTTACACTTTCTGTCTGGGTACGGCCTTCATCTTACTCTGTCAACAGACCGCTTCGTCTCCCGCATGCTGGACTATCTGGTCACTGCTCCCGGCCACCCCCTGCAAGGCATTTTTCAATCCGCCAAGTTCGATGCAGCTGCTCGCGCATCACGTTGCAGTCTCGTGTCAGTCTGCGTCCGGTCTGCGTACAGGCGAGCCGTAGGCTCTGGCGTCGCAGAAGCACAATGGGGCTTGCCCGCCATGTGGCGTCAATTCCTCCCTGAACATGCGCCCATTTCACCTGTGGCCTGCGCTGAAGCCGCCGCCAAAGCACTGGCGCAATCAGCCTTGGACTGGCAATCAGAATGCTGCATTTTTCATGTGCCTTCCCACCCCTCCCCCCCCGAGGACTGGTCAGACCATGCCTGGGTTGACCCTTGGCACCTTGATTGTGACTCCAGATCATCCCTGCTGCTTTCTCCGCTCACGCAAGCTCCTATTCACGCCGACGCAGCTCTATACGGGGATGGGGGTTTCTCTAACTCAGCAGGTGCCACTTTTTCATGCCAATCTCGGGACTTCGGTCGCCCTGGTGAATATTGGCTCTCATCTTCCTTCGTCTCTCGACAGCTCAATGGCAGGCTTCCTTCACGGTACGGTTGGGAACACAGCTCCATCCACACAGCAGAGCTACACGCTTTGGTCTGTTCCCTCCGTTTCCGACGCGCCGGCCAGTGGCACCTCCTCGTGTTCGACAGAAGTTCCCTCTTCCAGGTCCTGCGTACTGCTATGATAGGCTCCCTGCAACGCATCCTGTCCTCTGCGTGCATCCCGCACGTCGGGCACCTGAAGCGCTCTCTACTGTACCTCGGTAAAGCCTGGCGCGCAGATTGCGCCAAGCCATCCTGGAAGCCTATCCATCCCATTGGAACTATTCCCCCCTTCTGGAGGGACGTCGGACCACCCTCTCGCGCATTGCCTTCGAACATCAGGGTGTCGTGGGTTTAGACATCAAAAGCCACCAAACAGGCGCCCCCCACCCCTTCCCTGTGCTGGTGCAAGGCAATGAGGCCCAAGACCAAGGCTGCTCCTCTGCACGCTCTATGCCCCTACCCGCGGATGTCAAGTATCCCAGCGGAGATCTCTTCGCCTGGTTCTCTGTGGACGGGCGCATGGTCACGTCCCCCATACGTGTACATGTCCGAGAATCACTTCGCAAGGAAAGCCTGCAGTCCTGGGCATCCCGCCCAGTGCAGGGTTTTCTTCCTCGTAGGGCGGCGGAAATCTTCCAACCTTCCCTAGACCCCGCCCTGTACACCCGTTGCGTCTTCACCAGTCGCTGGATGCGCTGGTCATTGCCTTCCGACACCTTCCCTCTTGATTTATCGGCGATGGCTTACCGCTGCCAGCGCGCCATAGGCGGAAGCTGGACAGAACAGCTTCACTCGCATGCCGACGCTGCCACCCTAGCCGGTCAGTGGAGCCAGCAAGAGCAGTGGCCTTCCCCCCGCACCTGCCCGCTCTGTCGTGAGGGGCCAGGTACCCCTCGACACGTCGTCATGGCCTGCCCCGCAATGGCTCCATTAGTAGACATCCTGCGTGATGACGTAGAGGCAGAGCTCCAAGCAATCCAGCCGCTTCCCGCCCTACAAGCTGCCGCCCACACGTGGCGCCAACGCCTGCATTCCACTGCTCCAACATCCCTTCCTCCACCCTGCTCCGATGGAGCTGCGGTGCGTTGGCCAGTGCTCTCAGCTTGGCGTTGGCTCGTTCCCCTTCCGGGCTGGGAAGCCAATCTTTCCACCGATGTGGCCGGCAGCAGCAGAGTCGCCACCAACCGGGAAAGAGGTAGTGATCTGGCGTACCGGGGTGTCATCCCCCGCTTCCTGGGGGTATCGCTGTGCAACCTATCCCCCCACGAGGCAGACAGCCTGCGACAAGCAGAGCTCGAGCTCTATGCCACCCTTCGCCAGCCGGGGGCCTTGCAGCATGAACTCCAGCTCTTGTCCAAGAGTCGGACTGCCATTCTTCCCGCGGTACGCCTCACGCAGTGCCTGCTGCTCGGCCTCCGGAAACTTCGGCAGGCTTACCAGGCACGCACTACCACTTGGCTAGCTCTGTGCCGTGCTGCTCTGCCAGCTGCTGATGGCGATATGCCCGGGGAAGGTCAGGTTGTTGACCGACCGCCGCTCCGTAATTCATCTTCTTCCCTCACAGCCTGGCTCCAGTCCGACGCAGGACAAAGACTCATCCGTGAGCTGCGCTGGGCTTTGCTTCGGCCTGAGGCCGCTGCGGCACGTCTCCGATCTATGCATCCCTGTGGGCGCCTTTCAGATTCTACCATCATCAGCCTGCTCCTCCAACATGGCGGTGCCATCATCTCCGAAACGCTGCCGTCCTGGGCCCCAGAATTACCCTCGTGGTCAGAGGCCTCCTCAGCCCTGGCAGTGCCCTGCACCTGTGTCCCGGTGCTTCCTGCACCTTTAGCCTGCTGCTGGACTTGCGGTGGGGTGCGTCTCCCGGAGCTGCCCTTTGTGCCCCTACCTTGCATCTGGTGCAAACAGTCTGGTCCTGCGGCATGCGTGTCCTGCAACATCACCGTTCACCCCAGGGGATCCTGCCGCTGGTGGTGCACATCGGGCCTACCACAGCTCCTCCCCAGCGCTCCAGCTGTGCCCGGATTGTTGGTGCACTTGGGCACGCCTTCTCGCCGCTAGCCCACGCCGGCGTCGACCTACAGCCTCACAGGAGCTACTGTCGCACCTCCGTGCTGCGGCCGAACAGTGCCAGCAAGGTGCCGGGTCCTCGGCCGTGCACAAACCAGCCCTCCGCCTCAAGCACATTCGCAGGTGGGCTTTGGCCTTCATACGCCGTCACGGCGGCACGTCCGTCACTGCTCTTCAGCAGGAGCTTTGCCGTAGAGAGCCCAGCCTTGCTGACGATGCAGCCAATCGGCTCGTACTCTCAGCCTCTCGAGCACTGTGTGCCGAAGGCCACGCCTACTTAGAGCGAGACACGCTCTGCCCGGCGCTCGAGTAAAAAAAGGGCACAGTTTCGTTGTCAGTATCCACGTATTTCAGGCTTCCGCCTCCTCCCGCAATCGCACGTCCCCTCTTCCGGCCCAGACCCCCCCATTCGTCCCCAAACCCCCTACTTGGGCCACTTCCGGCTTTTTTCTTTATTTTTTTCTAGTACCCCCTCTGGAACCTCTGGCGGAGGGGGCCGATGACGCTTGCGGAGGCCTCCCGAGATGCTCAGCGGGGAAGAGTGCGGGAGGCCGTGGCCGTATGCCACTGGTCGATTCCTTCCTTCCTTCCTTCCGTACAGACCCTGAGTGTCCAAGCCCCAAGCTCTGAAAAAGCCCAATCGCAACAGAAATTGTACTAGCGTTAGTAAGAGTCAGAGTATTAGTCATAGTAAGAGTAATAGTGAGTGTCAGAGTACTAGTCATAGTGAGTGTCAGAGTTCCTGCAATAGTAAGTACTTGTCAGAGTCGTAGCAATAGTAATCGTAATAGGAATCGTAATGGCAAGAGTAATAGTAAGAGTGATAGACATAGTCCTAGTCATAGTCACAGTAGCAGTAGTAGTAAGATTAGCAGTGGTAGTGATAAAACAGTAATCGTAATTCTCACAGTGCTTGCAAATGGGACTAACAACAGTGCTAAGATGAGCTTGAGCACGAAACCACGTCTTCCGCCCCGCTGTGAGGTCATGAGCTGCGTCCAAAGATGAGTGCGGCCGGCGTTAGCTCCCACATACTATAGGGGTCGTGGCCATTCCCTGATATGGCCCTGTAAAACTTATACCCCCCCACACAAAAAAAGCCAAAAAACCTATTCTAATTTTTAAGGCCCCCTGGAGTCGCGACAGCCAGGTTTTCGCTGTCAAGCGCGTGGCTTTGGGTTTGCGGCCTGGGGTTTTTCGAGTTCAGGGGCTGCTAAATTTAAGGGTTTAGGGGTTCCGAGCGAAGTGACCAGACAGACTCGTCACTTGAAGACTTTGCTGCCGACTTGTCCCAGCGCTATCTAATCTCGACAATGAAGCCCCAACACAGCTCGACGCCCTAAGGCCGAAACCCTCAACCCTAGCCCCAAACAGCACTTTGATGGGTGTAGGACCAAGGTTCGCAGAATGGATGATTCGCGCATCTAGGTGCATGGGCTGATGGGAGATGTTTCTGGTAGTGATCATGGTCGTGCGAGCATCGGATAGATGGCCTGTGCGCGAACCTCTAGCCGCGAACCCCCTTTGGGGTACCCTAAGGCTAAGGGTATCCCCCAAACCCTAATTAAGACCTAAGGTCCTCGTCACCTGCCCTAAACCCTAGACCCTAAACCACTAAACCCCCAAGGTTGGTAAACCCTAAACCCTCGGGAGGCATAGGGTTTAGGGTTTAGGGTTTAGGGCTTAGGGCTTATAGGGTTTAGGGTTTAGGGTTTAGGGCTCACAGGGTTTAGAGTTTAGGGATTAGGGTTTACGCGAGATAATCATCCTTGTCGCCAGTGCTGACTCTACCCGGGACTCAAAGGGCAAGTCTCGAAAAAGCAGGTGCGTGCAGTGTCTTTGCGAGGGGCTCAGGGCTAGGGGGGTTCCGACGCCCATAGCCCTCAAACAGCCCAAACCCGGAACCGAATTCTGCTTACTTCATCTGAAACCAGGGTTTACGGTTTAGGGTTTGGGGTTTAGGGTTTAGGGTTTAGGGTTCAGGGTTTAGGGTGTAGGGTTTATATAGGGTTTAGGGTACAATGAAGAGACAGGACGATGAGTCATCGATCCTATATCTCAAAGAGTCTTTGGCCCATCCTTGTGCTGTTTGCCCGAGCCCTCCTGTCCCTACTCGGCCATAAACCTCAAACCTTTAGCTCTTGGTAGCCCAGGGGTACACTTTTTTCCCATTTCTGGGGTTCAAGGTTCCCATATACAGTAACCAACCCCCAAAAGGGTGCCCTTAGAATATGGTTGATGGGCTACCAAGAACCCTAAACATGTAGCCCCACCAGGACCGAAAACTTCAAGGCGGTGGAAGAATGGTTCACCCACTTGCAGAAGGCGAGCTCTAAACCCTACGTACCTCAAGAACCCATAGCCTACCTTTTGTAGGTGATTACTCTAAAAACCCCCTTGAGGGGTTCTTATGCAACCTCCAAAGAAGTAGGTCTTGGGTTCTTAAGGTAAAGAAGCACGTACTTACGACCTACTTTGGGGTTGCAAGTACCCTGAACCTCCAAGTACTCATGGTTCAGGGTTTAGGGCATAAGGGTCTAGGGTCTAGGGTTTAGGATTTCTGGAGGTGGGTCAACTCAGGGAGGCAGCGCCTTTTTTTGGGTGGGGGGTGGGGGGGGGGGGGCGGGGTGCGGGCACTCCAGGGGCACTCCCGCGCCATTCTCTGCGGGAATTCTTGGGTGAGGAGGGCTGCCCAGGGGAGATGGTTTAGGGTTTAGGGTTCCAGGAAAATCGTCTGCGGGATTCCTGTGCGGGTCCAGGGTTACTCTGCCGGATTCTCCGCGACAATCTCGGGGGACAAGGCACTCCAGGCGTAAGTACTCTGCAGGATACTTTGCGGACTTCTCTGTCTGGGGCGGGAAGGGGCGCTATGTGGGTTTTTTTGCGGGATTCTCCGTGGAAGTTCTTGGGGTGGGCACTGCAGGGACAGACAGCTGCTCTAAAGGTTTCTCGACAAACATCTCTGGGTGAGCACTCCAGGAAGTGGGCTTCAAGGGTCCCTGGGCTTCTGTGGGGGCTTCTCTGAATCTCTGCGTTCTCTCCCTAAACCCTAAACCCTAAACCCTAAACCCTAAACCCTAAACCCTAAACCCTAAACCCTAAACCCTAAACCCTAAACCCTAAACCCTAAACCCTAAACCCTAAACCCTAAACCCTAAACCCTCCTTGCGGGGCTTATGGCTTAACACGGAGCCCTATGGAGGGCACCTCCGAGGGGCGTAATGTTGCACCTCTATGAAGCAGGGTTTACACTACCGTTCTTGGTGAGTGTCTACAAGGTTCCTTTTTAAGCTTGGGGAGTGTATATATTTGGTGGCCTTTAGGAGGTATACAAGGTTCCTTTTTAATATTGGTGAGAGTATAATATATTTGGTGGCCTTTTTGGGGGTACAAGGAAAATAGATACCCCACTTCAAATATGAGTAAACGGGACAGGGAGGCTCAGCAATCATAGTTTCAGGGGGCCCCGACTGGAAGAGGGTGGAACATTTGCTTGTTTTGACTAAGGATGGTGGAGCAGGAACATGGTCTTGCACATGTCCATACAGAAAAAGTAGCCAGGGCAGTTCATTCGGTCATGCACCCTAAGCCCAATGCTCCCCCCCCCCCCCTCCCTCCCACTACAACCCTAGATCTCAACCCGGAAAAGCTCACATTAGTCTGACCCCTAAACCCTAAACCCGAAACCCTAAACCCTAAACCCTAAACCCTAAACCCTAAACCCTAGACCCTAGACCCTAAACCCTAAACCCTAAACCCTAAACCCTAAACCCTAAACCCTAAACCTAGTCTCATGCGGCGCCATGCAGTCTCCTTAGAAGCCCCGGGGTTGTGGCGTTTCGGGTTTAGGGCCTCGGGCGAAAAAAACGGCATCCTTACATCCAGAAACCCAGATCCTTGCTTAGGGTTTAGGGTTTAGGGTTTAGGATTTAGGGTTTAGGGTTTAGGGTTTAGGATTTAGGGTTTAGGGTTTAGGATTTAGGGTTTGGTGTTTAGGGTTTAGGGTTCAGCGGTTCACCAAACACCCGCTGCTGGAGGTTGGCATTGCCCTCACGGCGCCCGTCTTCACGGAGGCATCAGCCCCAGAGTACCCCACACACCAAAGACAGCCCGAGGGTTTAGGGTTTAGGGTTCAGGGTTTAGGGTTTGGGGTGTAGGGTTTATATAGTGTTTAGGGTTTAGGGTTTAGGGCAAGCTAAACCCTGTACCCCTAAACCCAACGACAACTCAAAGCAAGCATAAACCCTAAACCCCGAACACACACAACGCACACGAAGCACAAGCCTTAACAGCCCAAAACCGCCGACACTGAGCGCCTTCCTACCTGATCCACCCAATCCGAGGGATGGGATGAAAGCAACCCTAACCACAAGCCCTTAGACCCTAAAACCCTATCGCCCTAGACCCTAAACCCTGTACCCCTAAACCCTTAACCCTCCTAAACCCTAAACCCCTACACCCCTGAACCCTAGACCCTCAGAAACCCTAAGACCCTATACCCATGTAACCCTATAGGCCAGCCCTATGGCCCTAAACCCTCCTAAACCCTACCGCTATACCCCTAAACCCCTGCTGGAGTTGAGCGCAAGGCAAGCAGCCTTCACCTCTGAGAGTGTTTTTGTCTTCCAAGAAATCCTGAACCTTACGTCAAGAGGTCCTAAACCCTAAGCCTTAAACCCTAAACCCTAAACCGTAAGCCGAAGCCCTGAATCCTAAACCCTATACACCCCCTAAACTCCTAAACCTTGAACGCTACTGCTTTGAGGTTCAGGGTACTTCTATCCCAGCAAGAATGACTGCAGTCATAACCCATGTAGCCATGTATCATTTTTCTAAGCGTCTCAACAGGTCTATAACTCCTCAAACCCTAAACCCGAAACCTTATACCCTAAACTCCTAAACCCTAAACCCATGAACCTTATACCCTAAACTCCTAAACCCTAAACCCTAAACCTTATACCCTAAACTCCTAAACCTGAAACCCTAAACTCTTAGACCCTAAACCCATGAATCAAGCACCAACGTCCCTCCGCAGATCGTCAACTCCTATGCCGGCCAGGGCGAATGGGAAGGCCCACTCTTGGGCTTCTTCAGAAGGTACTATGGGGAACCCTGCTACACCCTCAACCCTAAACCCTAAACCCTAAACCCTAAACCCTAAACCCTAAACCCTAAACCCTAAACCCTAAACCCTCTTTTCAGCCCGAACTTACAAAAGGTAGGGAAGCCTTGGAGCTCTCGATCCGAAACGTCAAATGTCAGCCCACGACTTGAGCTCAGGGCCTGGTGCCTGGTATGCTAGGGTTTAGGGTT